CACATTCTGACATTGTGCTGGGTTGATTATTGGAATCATTTTCACTTTAATTTTCTGACTCAAGCACAACAGCAATCATACGAAAACATAAAAGAGCCTGTTCGTTTGGATTATATCTGGTAATATGAAATACTAGTAGTCTTGTTAATAGACTGAAGCAAAATTACCAATTTACTGCTTTCTTACAAGAATAAGAATACATGCATCGAGAAAATATATATCTGTTGCAACTGATATCTAAGTAAGCATGCAGTATGTATGGTCCTACTCACACACACACACACACACACACACACACACACACACACACACACACACACACACACACACATACCCTCTGTGGTCCCACTAACAATTCTCCTTGTCCTAGATGATTGAATACGACTGCTTGTTCTCCCTCGGGTACCGTTTTAAACTTCATTTCTGTTGCCTAACCACAAAATATATTATGTCCTTTTATTGGCATATAAACACTCTTCTTCTTAAAAGTGTATAACAAGCATGTAGCAGAAGCAGGCTGGTTTATTGAATAAGTATCGTCCTTGTGATACTGCAAGATCAATATTTTACAATTTATAATTTACAAAGCAGCTAACCTAGCCCTGCTGTACATAGTGAATATCAGTTATAAGAAGTAGTCAGAATAGTAAGATTTCGTTTTTCTCTCACCTGATCAGTGTACGAAGCTGCACCTGATAATTGTGTATCTGATAATCGTGACTGACTATTAATAGAGTGATTTAACTAAAAATAGTCTTGACGCCGTTGACTCACTAAGTTAAACAATAATAGTGCGCGCGTTTCAAGTCTCCACAATAAAAAGAGCGCAATACTAACGTCACACTGACGTCACGTTGTTGGGCTCTATTGTCGACTTATAATTAATAATTCAATGCCAGTAGTTTTTCTTTTTGCTTCAGTTCGAAAGTTGGTATCTATTGACCGATAACTAAGTCAATAAATGTTTTCCACTTTAAATAGATCGACGTGATTGCTCATAATGTGCTTAGACCAAAATAGCTTTTTTAAAAATTATATATAACTTAATAGCAAAGTCGACTTCGACCAAGAGAGATCAGCGGCAATGAATAACCTCCTACCCCAGCATGTACGTACGTTAGCTTCGGAGTTGCTCTTTCTCACCCACCAATAAAAAATAGGAGGAGGGATAACAAGCGAAGCGAGACAAAATCAAGCAATTTCCCCATCCTTAAGCCTATGTATATAGTAACCTAAAATTGTCCTACTATTATTTTTTTTATTTCAAAATGCATCCATTCTCTTGAAAAAAAAAAAAAAAATCCGTGCGCATCCCCCCCCCCCCCCCCCCCCCCAAGCGCCATTTTCTACAAAATATTGTGTCTGCCTGTGATTTTTTTGGAATAGACTACCATGGGTTTATCTTGTAAAGAACTTAATTATTTAGTAGGCATAATTTTTGACGCAAAAGAGTACACCCTTTTTTCGGATTAAACTTTAAAGTTATTTTTGAAACTTGTCCATGAGTTATGCCACATCTGACTTTCACACGCTCAGATTAAACAGAAAAGGTGATAGGAGTGATAGAGACAGATAGCCTAACTCGGGCGGCACCATAAAAGTTCACGGGTAACCGCACATAGGCGAAACTTGCTGAAGGACTAGGGCCTCGAAAGAGACGCATTTGAAGATGTCGAGTTCGCTCCGGCTGCTGTTCGTTTTCCTGGTGGTTTCACTTGGTTGCGCACTTGGAAATGACCAGCTCTCGGTAACAATCATAGTTTACTGAAATGAACTATTAATTCTTTTCGATTTCACATGGTTTTAGGTAAAATACCGAATTATACACCGAGTATAAGAGAGATAGGCCTATTTTATAAGCGTACCGGTATGTGCTGGTTTTAAACAAATTGTCACATTGTCTAGGCCTATATATAAATGAAACGTTTTCCAAAAGACCTGACATTCAAAAAGACATTTCATTTACCAGGTCTTGGTTTCGTTCAGGTAATACTGATCGAAATTCACTGAACTAAAATTTACTGGAAAATTAATCTTTATGGTATAGAAACGCTTAACATGTTACGCATATCTTTAAACTTGGCCACTTTGCAAACATTCTGCGAATTATTCAATCTGCTGTATATCGGAGAAGGAAATTAATGGTCCTACCAAAGTTTGCCCCCCCCCCCCGACTTCCTTTTCCATTTTCTCAGAAACTAGTCACTGACTCAGGTTGAAAACTTTACAAATATCATTTTCGCCCTTAACTACTCTGCCATCACGTTCCAATATGCATTTCAGTATTTCAATCAGCAGATCAAGAACTTTCAAGGGTCCCTTCTGAGGAGATGCCCGTCTCTGGTGAGAAATTTTAACTGCGGCCAGCTGTACACGGGGTCCCAGGCGTTAATCGGTCGACGAAAGCGAGCTAACGCTGAAGCTGAGAGCGTGCAAGTGAAGTATGCTCGTGCCACTGCGAATTACCTGGAAACTTTGACCGGATTCTGCGATGGTTAGTTTAGTTCATTTTTTTCTCTTAATAGTCCTTTTATGTTATCATTTGGAACTTTTTTTTCTACTCGTGTAATATTAATAGCGGGGCAATTTCAATTAAAAATAAAAATACAGATAATACTGTAATAGTAGGGTTTAAAGAGGGTAATAAACCAAAGGTAAACGTATTGTGAAAATAAAACAATGTAAGTTGATTTTCGGTTTCACAGAAGTGCCAAAACCGTGCCCACAAGGGTTCCAGCAGTTTGGGAGTTCCTGCTATTACTTCAAGTCCGTTGGTGGATCCGCGCTTTCATGGGACCAGGCTAGAACCAAGTGCCGATCATTGTCAGCTGACCTAGTCTCCATAGAAACAAAAGAGGAGCATGAATTCATTAAGAAAAACCTGAAGCGTAAGATTGATTTATTTATTAAATTAATTGAAAGTAAGTTAAAGTTAAATTGAAACAGAAGAGACCGATGAGCCGCCATGCTTCAGAAGCATCCCCCCTCCTCCCTCTAAAAATAAATAAATAAATAAATAAATTGATAAAGGAAAGACAGATGATTCTCTTTCCAGCAATCACCACCCCAAACATATTCCAAGGTTGGTATGTTGGAGGCAAGAGACGTACGGTAGACCCAGCCACCGGGAGACCTTGGACCGCCGCTCAGAACGCTAACAAGGCAGAGATGAAGAAGCAGTACTACTGGGTGGCCACGGGCAAGACCATGGCCTATGACGGCTGGGAGAAGTCAAAGGCTGATATACCAAATGTACAGCCAGTTGGCGACCCCTGTGTCCTTCTATGGGTCGGGAGATCGGATTTCTTGGACTATGAATTTGACGACTATGTCTGCGCTTCAAATTATCCAAATATTGGTTACGTCTGTGAGAAGACTAACTAGTCGCTTAAAGGGATAAAAACTCTTCGTTTTGGCCAAAAAATGAATTTTCCTGGAGTAAATAACAATTTTCCCGTACTTACCAATGGTTAATGAATCCATTTTTACATTCAAAGTTAGTCCCTGTTTTTTTTTCTAAAAAGTTTGGTTTTTTGTTAAAATCTCTTAAGAGATTATTACAGAGTATAGCCATCAATGGGGGTCACGTGGTCTGAAGAAAAGCTCAGATATCAGAATAATAGCTATAACTGCTGTTTTTGTCGTAAAACAGAATATATAATATTTCTATGAGTTATTCACAATGTTTTTATTGCGAAATATAGACTTCATACGAAGAGTTATTATCCTTTTAATTGGTACATGATGTGATGAGCGTGGAAAATTAAGAAATCCCTGCAATAAAATTATTTTGCAAAATTAAGGATCTTGATGATTGATCATTTATTTTCCAGCTCTCAAATAAAACTACTCAGTATAAAGCTCAGTATCAGTTTCACAATCCCAATTCGTTTAAAAGAGAGGGCTCTAATAATATAAAATACCCCCCCCCCCCCAAAAAAAAAAAAAAAAAAAAAAAATTACCCTCAACTCTTGGTGTACCGATGGATCAGGAACATAAATAAAAAGGTGAATGTGCAGCCCCTTTTTTCTTTGAGTGTGTAGGGCGGGGGGGGGGGGGGTAAATATCTTGCAAAACTACCTATTTTCACCAACTGAGATATATAAAAACGATAAAATCCCGGTGTAAAGTGACAGAGAGTCCCCCATAACAGAGAGTCCGCCTCCCATTTATTTGTACAGGTGAGCCTCGCCCTAGATTTTGACCCACTTAAGTCAAACTAACCCTATCCATTATAACTAAATGGAGGGAGGACCTTCTTTTTCACGGACCCTCAGTTTCGTTACACCTGTCAATACATAACAATGTTAGGAAGACGGACGGAGGTCTGAATGTCAAGGAAAATTAGATTTGGCACAAAAGTTATCCTCTAATTACTGTAAAGTCCCGACCTTGTAGAACCTGCATAAAAAGAAACGTAGGGAGAAAATGAAGTCTAATGTCTTACTGATTTTGTTAATTGCGCCTCACGTACTGGTATTTAACGCATTTGATTAAGGTTTTTAGATATAAAGAAAATAAAAAGAATGTAAGTCAAAGGGTGGTATATCCACTCGGATCCCTTATAAATGTGGAAAGGGCTATAAAAGTTTCGCATTAATATGTCGAAATACAAAAGATTCAAACGAAAATATGGAAAAATGCGTTGTCCAGAGGAATTTGATTTGTTCGAAACTAAACTTCAAGCATCATGCCAGATCCAAGATGTCTGCGCCCAGCGTTGCTAGCGTGAAAGAATTGATAGCTCAAAAGGATGCGTTAGAAGCAGAAATGAAGGAACTTATGGATGTTCTGGAGTCAGTGAGTATATTTGCTTTGTATCTGTGGTGCTATTAAAATCAGTTTTCTTCAGTGTGTTTGATTTATACACCAATACTCTTTCAACATTCAGGCAAATCTTAGATCAAAAAAGAATTTTGCTGATTCACACACACAGTATAATATTTTTATAATTTTTTATATAAACCCTCTTAGCACCACATTCTAATACAAGTTTAACGGTCAGTTATTCCATCATCTCAGTGTTCTGAAAAGTAGAGAAGTATACACTTTAAAGTTCAAACTGCTTCAGTCACGTTCGACTTTTTCCTGTTTAATCTTTTATTAGCAAGGCGGAGTGGGAATGGATGGTCCAATTTTAGATGAAGAACAGTATCCAAGATCTGATATAGATGTATACACTGTACGCCATGCAAGGCACAGGATAGCATGTAAGTAAGCACAGTAAACGGCTTATGCATATCTTGTATTTTCATCAAGGGGGGAGGGGGGGGGTATACCTTGGCAAGTATTTACGAAACAAGTGCCTAGGCAATCTTCATGCAGATAATTTAACTTAATGTTCTTGAAAAATTTATGATTTAACTAAGGTATCCCTTAATTTAACTTTAACTTTATTATTACCATATGAAACTCTATATTGTCTCTCCCCCGCCTCCCAATGAAATATATAATCATAAATGAAATAAAATGATGAAAGTTAAATTAAAGATCATTATCTAAGATCATATCACCTTTATATTTAAGGCCTCCAGAATGACCACAAGGCCAAGATGAAGGAAATAGAGGAAAATCTCTATCAACTCCACGAGGAGGCAAGGAAACAGAAAGAACAGGCAATGGAGGTAGACAGTTCTGCCCAAGAAGCAAAGATGGATACTGCGATAGCTGAGAAACCTTTTGCCAAAATTGACCGGGTGGACTCTGGCTCTCCAGCCTCTCAGGCAGTATGTAGTTACAGTGAAAAAGATGTCAACCATCTGAATGAACTGTAATATAATTGTTCTTATTTTTCAACCTCCTTCCCATCCTTCAGAATGCCTCATAGGCATGCAGAGATTTTTTACAAATTTTAGATCTTGTCTTATCAAAGAAATCTTTTCAAGAAGCATGTTGATGCGATGGTGGCTGAGAAGTGGAAATTCTAAATTAAAATTGAAAAACAATTTTTCTGTGCAACAAAGATAAATGTAGAGAAGATTAGAAGTATATCATAATGAAGATAGATCCTGTTTTGTAAAGAAAAGAAAGGTATGAGTGAAGGGAAATTAGGAGATTTTCTTAAGTTAAGGTACTTTCGCTATCTTTCTATACCCTGGATTATTGTGTCACATGATATAAATGAACAAAAATATTTGACATGCATTTTTTCAGGGTCTTACATTAGGAGATGAGATTGTAGAGTTTGGATCAGTCAATGCCAAAAATTTCACAACACTTCAGAATATTGCGACAGTTGTCCAACACAGTCAAGGGGTAAGTACCCATGCCTTCCATTTTGGTGTGTTGTTAAAAATGTTAATTTTTTTCAGTACAATCTTTGAAGTGCTTGTCAGGTTTGCTGGCCAATAAAATGATCCTTGATTTCTCATGTCTTTTTCATATGCTAAATTCAAGTTCTATTAAATGTAAAAAAATTTATTTTCAGTAAACATCTCTGCCAAAGACCTGTGTCTGTGATAAATAAGCACATAGAACATCATCTTTTTAAATTTTTATTTTTTTATTCCAGAGTCCACTCCATGTCAGTGTAATAAGGCAGGGGGAGAGGACACACTTGTCTCTGACACCACAAACATGGAGTGGAAAAGGACTGTTGGGGTGAGTGACTAATCTTTTGACTAAGAAAGTGACTGTTTTGACTCATCCAGTGGAGGGATAACACATAAGAGAGGAAGAAATAATCTAATACTGTTCCATTTTTTTTCTCATGTGATAGCATATCAACTATGTACTAGTCTGCAATTTTAATCAGTATTTTAAAAGAAGACTTGAAAAAGTGTTTTGAGCATTTTGCTTTTGTAATTAAAAGCATGATGGCGATGAAGCTATAGATTTGAGGTATTTGCTATTTTATGTTTTGAGTTTGGTTTTTTTTTTTATCTTGAATTTGATTCTTTTTCAATAATGCTTACTCTTTGAATGTAAATTAGGGAAAATTTAGATATTATTTGAATTTTGTCTTATGCTGACAAGGAACAAATTCCATTTCAGGTGTAACATTGTACCACTGAAGAGGTGACAGAGATGCCAGGGAAAAATCAGTTTCATATGAGAAGAAAAACTATATTGAAGCAGTGCAAGTCTAACTGAGTGAAAATCTGGGGAGCTATCAAGTGTATCCCCTACAGAGCCGATAATTAATTACCCCCTAGCAGCTTCAGTAGGCCTGACAGACATCTAAGCCGCTCAAGTTAATAGCAATTTAGATCGATCCACAGTTAGCAAGATGGGGTCTGGGATTGGTCCCTTATTGTTATGCAATTTTCATCATGGGCGCACCAGTACAGAGGACTGTCTTTATCTTCTGACAGAACTTGGCATCAGTTAACAAACAATATTGAAATTGCTGAATCCGGAGCTTTAGTGTTCATTCACTTTTTAAAAATCCCACTTTTCACTCTAAATCCAAATTTTCTTTTTGTAAATTTTATGCATAATTACATAAAAAAGTAATGACTCAAAGATGAAAGTGGTCTGTTGCTAAGTTTACTCTATATAGATCTTAAAAACAATGATGATCATTTGATAAAATGTTCATGGATCATTCATGCTTTCAAAATTAAGCAATGTTGTGTATAAAATATGCGCATTTAAAAAAGATCTGAACACATTTTTAAAAGAAGAATTTTTGAAATATTTTTATTATTTCTGAATTCTGGGATGCGCTTGCATTGTCAATAAACAAAGTATGCAGATACTGAGTATTTTATGTGTAAAGTGCACTTTCATCCACCTTGATATTACAAAAAAAGGTAAAGAAAATATAAATTACGCTGCTTTCAAATTATAAAAAGTAAAAATTACATTTTTCATGTGTGTATAATACAGTATTGGGTAATTACACTTTTTCATCAATATAAGCTCAAACTGTTTTATATCTGAAATGTATACTTATGGTTAGCTGGAAAACACATCGTAAAATGTTTAAAATAAAAAAAAGTTGCTTTTAATTGGTGCAGTAACTAAAATTCACAAACATGATAACAACGAAACAAAAAATCGAGGGATGCTAAATGACTAAATAGCTATTTTATGGACGGAATGATTAGAATTGGTTTTCACAGACTTTTCTTGTAGATTGAGAGGACTAGCATCGGACTGTATGCGGCGGCCCCATTTTCATTCCATATTAAAATTTTCTTACCAAATCACTTCTTAGTGCAGAAAATATATCCGGTCATTCTTGTCTTTCACAAAACTACATTTATAACACTTATAATTAATTAATGCTCTCTCTAAATTTCTTCCTAGTCCTGGCTAGTCTTTCTGATCGATCATATTCAAATGATTCGTTGTTGTAAACGAGTTTCTTCCTACTGGTTGGTGGATTGTCAGTCATGGGCGTGGCTTTAACAAGTGATTGACGGGAGGTGGGTCTTGGGGTGTCGTCACCAGTTCCTACGTGTGCACCGTGACGTATTCTTTTACAGAGAATGAACAACAAGATAAAGAGCTCGAAAAATGCCAGAAGAGAAATGACAGCGATGACCACGGTGGAACTCAACCCTAATACTGATGGTGCAGCAGACCATTCCGTAGTTCTAAGTGTGGTTGAACTTGGCAAATTGATTGTCGTGGATAAATTGGTTGTTGTTAACGTTGATGCACTAGTAGCTGTCGTTGTTGTTGATGTTGTCGTTGATTCAGCTGGTTCCGTGGAAGTGTATGAAGTCGCAGAGGAAAATTCAGTGGTGACGTCATCACCGATATCTTTGGTTGTAAGATTGCTACTGACCGTGCTTAAATCACTGAAATTACCCGTTGTCAAGTTGCTGCTGATTGTCGTATTGCTGAATGTCACCGAACAGTTACTACTGGGGAATTGAAGTACAGTGTGGTTGAGATATTCAGCTGGTTTTGCACAGAAAGGATCTTGAACACTCGTGGTGTTTAACTCCCGTAACCACAGTAGCTGACAATCACAGATCAAAGAATTGCCATGGAAGTTGAATTGCTGTAGGTTTTGTAAAGATGCAAATACTTCGTACTCCAAAAGTTGGAGTTGGTTATAGGAAATATCTAGAGATATGAGAGAATCCCTGAGGCCATGAAAAGCGTCCTCTTTAAAAGTTCTGATGTTGTTGTTTTGAAGGTGCAAATGCTCCAAGTTACCTTGTGTTCCAAACGTATTTTCGTCTATAACATTAATTCCATTGCGTGATAAATCCAACGTCTTTAAAGCTACCAGACTTTGGCAGTCTTTTTCGGTAAAAGATACTAAATGAGCATCGGATAAATCAAGATATTGAAGCTGAGTCAAATTCCCTAACATTTTTGGAACCATTGTTAGATTATTGTTACTTAGTCTCAAACTGGTCAGGCTCCGTAAATTTAATAAAAACCCAAAATCAGTGCTCTCTGTCAAAGAATTTCCATCCAGGTCCAATGTGTGTAAAGCTTCATTAAAAGCTTCGTTAGAAATATTGTAGATTGAATTTCCCGCAAGGTTCAAAGCTCTCAGGTTTGGGAAACTTGAAAATGCGTTAGGTGAGATTTCTGTGAGCGCGTTGCTGCTGAGGTCCAACTCCGTCAGATGCGACAAATCATCTTCTGTATTGAAACTATCTCCTTGAATTTCATTTCGAGACAAGTTGACGACTTCCAGTCGTGTAAGATTGTTAATTGGTACGTATGGAAACACCTTAATTCTATTTCCGTCTAAATATAGCTGCGACAAATCCCTTACTGTGCTAAACGCACCGTTTGAAATAATACTGATATTGTTATTGGACAGGTAGAGCGTACTGATAAAACTTAGATTTCCAAATGCATTGTCGTATAGAGTATCAATACTGTTATTCATTAGATTTAAGACGGTAAGAGATCCATTCAGTGACAGAATGGGAAGTTGTGGAATATTTGGCCCAAGGCCATGACTAGAACAATCTAACGTCCAAGTCGTCTCATTTTGGAATGTGCTGGTTGAACAAATGCAGAAGTGAGGGCAAATTGTGCCGTTTTCGCCACTAACGCAATTGATGGCGATAAGTAGTATGCTGGCCCATGTTATCCCGTGCTGCGGCTTCTCACATCTGGGGTACATGTTCATTTTTCATGTCTGGTTGTGAATCTGAAAATATAAAAACTCCTTTATTTATACTTATATAATCAATTTAAAAATACCCAGCATATTGTTTTAATGATTGTTTTATTTTCGTATATGTGACCAATGAATAACTGTCGTTTACATCAACATGATATAATTGTTTCGTTATAGGCAATATCGACGTAATGTGCTGAACTGAAAAGACTACTTGACTTTTTGACTTGCGATAATTCAGAGGCAAAAAACATGTCATTTATTAAAGTGTAGAGACATCATAAACAGATAAAAATGTAATCAAACAGGTAGGTCAGTCTGTGTTATCAACTGAAATAGCATGATAGGACTAAGTAGAATTTTAAAACCTTGTTTATCCCTCTTATTACCTTGTGGTTACAAGATATGGTTTGTAACAGAATCAAAGTCTAACTACATGTTTAAAATCAACAAGAAATGAGATTGTGAAAGAAAGTTTACGTTTTTATGCGTTAAACCTAAGATTTCTAGGTTCTATCCTATAAATAAATTAATAAACGCTCTTCTGCTTCCTTTTTTTTCTAATAACATCACGAAATGAATAATATTTTAACACGGTTTCTCTGTAATGTACCTAGATTTTACCATCATTGAATTCGTATATACCCCTACACGAAAAAAAAAGTTTCGCTGGTGCAAACGTATTGAAAACAGCCAAAGAAAGAAAGCAGTAGAAAGTCATGATCGCCCACACCTTTATAGGGGCAGTTCATGGGAATTATTTCTTAACTCTTGCTGTTTTACATATAGTTCACCCTTTTCTTTTATAAGCAAGGCGCGTACGTGTGTAGAAAAATGAATAGATAAATTATTGTAATACGAGAAAGGCCCAACTCCTCTTAAATTCAAGTTGTGACATTAGGCTTTCAGCCGCACCTTGTCACTCCCAGTTTATGACTTTGTGGTGACGGTTTTTTAGCGGCAGGAATAATTCAATCACTGGTTTGTTGTGTGCAATATTTGCACCTGCCCTGCTGGCAGACTAAAAAAAAGAGAAGAAATGAAAATAATATTCACACGACGCTTGTAACACACAGAAACAATTTGAATGTTATTTCTCCAGTGTTGCATGGACGTTGTACAATGAGAAATGCAGAGATGTCGCAATGGCAGGCAGCTAGGATGGTGTATACTTTTCGCTTTGTAAAAGATGTCTTTTCAACCTGTGTTATGGACTTTCTAATGTCATGAAAATTATATTTATGCGGCATCATTAAAACTATATGTATCATTTCTTTCCGCTAGGATTACTGCAATTTGTTGAGAAAAAAGATATAAGATTATGTTTTTATTCTGCTGTACAAACAAACTATTTCTTTTCCTGTAGACGAAGAACGGGTAGGAACCTATGGATGCGCCTGCTTTATCTGTGAGGGGGGAGGTTTGAGGTCAAAGGACACCCCCCTTCCTGCAACACCACCCCCCTCCGTCGTTATCAGTTTTGATATCCAAGTCACGGAACATCCTCTACGCAATTCTTCTTCTCCCTCCTCCCCTCCCCCTTTATATCGCTCGTCGACATTTTCATTTCACAGACTTACTTTATTTCACTACATAATTTATTACACTGCTGCCAGTGCTAACCGGATTTGCAAGATAAGTTTGCTATCCTCAAGAAAATCGTCCGGAATGTGAAACGATGACGCATCACTGTGATGACGCGCACCTGTGACCGTTTCTGCTTGGTCAATCCTTGGACGAAATTATTCGCCCAAGGTCGATCTTGCAAGTGTGCGTTCAGACAAAGAGCATAAGTCGTCCGGTGCGATCTTGATGACGTCACAAGGCATTCAGGTTAATTTACCAGTGATTTATATCTGCGTGTAGTAGAGGAGATTTAAGAGTGGGTCTGTTGGGGGTAAAGATGCAAAACAGGTTGGGGGAGGGGTATGGCCCGACAATTATATCAAGATTACATTATTCTCGACTAGTACAAACTATTATGAACGCTATGGTATAAATATGAATTATACTTGTTTTATCAAGAGTTACATCTTGACCAAGAACCAAGGAGTCACTGTGACAGCACACACAGTTCCTTTAATAAAGGCTTTATCACCAGCTTTTACTGACACCACGGCTACCCCCTTCCCCCCCAAGCGCGCGCACACACGCACACACACATTGTGGAAGCTCTTTACGAGACATCCAATCACAGCATCTTAAAAACCTGAGCGTACATTACGCCATCGTCATACCTTTTGGCCAATGCTTAGGTACACATACACACCACATGAATATTCCAGATCTTATGTAAGTTCTCTTACCTGTTTACCTAGTGTCAACGCACACCTGCATTGACGTGCATTTGACACCTCTGACGCACCTTAAAATATGGTCGAACGCGGAAGTTAAGGTCGAGACGACATACATCACGGTACTGCACCCCCCTTAACCGCCAACGTCCGTTCAGCTTGATACACTACCTGTACTATGTTACTACACGCATCCACTACTGGTCTTAAGTAATACAAGGTCAGAGCAACAATAACGACCTTCTATTGATTCCATTGAACAGATTGTTTATGGTACTATTAGATAGGGGTTCTTGCTGAGAAAAGACCCTGTTGTTTACTTTTGCTTACACTAAATCTCAATGGTTAAACTCAAATATCGATGTCTAAACCTGGTCTTTAGTTTAATTGTGCGTGGAACTGTTCCTGATCAACGTCGTTTTAACATGTAAAATGAGATGGACAGGCATGAATGCGTAGTCGACTTAGGTACAAGAGATTGGGAAGGGGGGGGGGGAATCATGTGCGGGGGGTAATGATAAAAGAGTGATAAAGTTGGCAACATAGAAAAGGAAGCGAGAGTTTATCTGATCCCTAACTTTTACCACTCAATATCTTTACTTTCTATACTGAGAGACTCCTGTCAGTGCACTCGGTTGACTTGACAGCACAGGAAGTTTAATTCTCATTTTTGGGACATTGTAAGTGATTAGTAAGCNATTTTTGCAACCTGTCCATGAGTTAGGCCACATCTGGCTTTCACACGCTCAGATTAAACAGAAAACGTGATAGAGACAGATAGTCTAACTCGGACGACACTATAAAAGTTCACGGGTAACCGCACATAATAGGCGAAACTTGCTGAAGGACAAGGACCTCGAAAGAGACGCATTTGAAGATGTCGAGTTCGCTCCGGCTGCTGTTCGTTTTCCTGTTGGTTACACTTGGTTGCGCACTTGGAAATGACCAGCTCTCGGTAACAATCATAGTTGACTGAATTGAACTATTAATTATTTTGGATTGTACATGGTTTTAGGTAAAATAGCCGAATTATACATTGAGAGATAAGCCTACAAGCGTACCGGTATGTGCTGGTTTTAGACAAATTGTCACATTGTCTAGGCCTATATATAAATGAAACGTTTTCCAAAGGACCTGACATTCAAAAAGACATTTCATTTACCAGGTCTTGGTTCCGTTCAGGTAATACTGATCGAAATTCACTGAACTAAAATTCACAGGAAAATTAATCTTTATGGTATAGAAACGCTTAGCATGTTACGCATATCTTTAAACTAGGCCACTTTGCAAATATTCTGCGAATTATTCAATCTGCTGTATAGCGGAGAAGGGAATTAATGGTCGTAATGTTGCACACAGCGAAATTATGTTTCTATATATAATGTAAAATACATGAGGTCTAAACTTAAGTCAAGAGAAAGTACTAAACAGTAATGATAACAGAACACAGTACTGTACTCGGTGAAGAATTTTAATTTAAATGCAACTCCAGTAGACCAGATTTCAAGGAAATCTACCAAAGCTTGGCCTCCCCCCCCCCTTCCTTCTCCATTTTCTCAGAAACTGGTCACTGACTCGGGTTGAAAACGTTACAAATATCATTTTCGCCCTTAACTACTCTGCCATCACGTTTTAATATGCATTTCAGTACTTCAACCAGAAAATCAAGAACTTTCAAAGGTCCCTTCTGAGGAGATGCCCATCTCTGGTGAGAACTTTTAACTGCGGCTAGCTGTACACGGGGTCACAGGCATTAATCGGTCGACGAAAGCGAGCTAACGCTGACGCTGAGAGCGTGCAGGTGAAGTTTGCTCGTGCCACTGCGAATTACCTGGAAACTTTGACCGGTATCTGCGATGGTTAGTTCAGTGCATTTTTTCTCTTACTAGTCCTTTTATGTTATTGTTCGGAAGCTTATTTTTCTACTCATGTAATATCAATAATGGGGCAATTTTAATTTAAGAAAATACAGACAATACTGTAGTTTTGGGATAAAAAGAGGATAATAATCCAAAGGTAAATGTATTGTGAAAATAAAACAATGTAAGTTGATATTCGGTTTCACAGAAGTGCCAAAACCGTGCCCACAAGGGTTCCAGCAATTTGGGAGATCCTGCTATTACTTCAAGTCCGTTGTTGGATCCGCGCTTTCATGGGACCAGGCTAGAACCAAGTGTCAATCAATGTCAGCTGACCTAGTCTCCATAGAAACCAAAGAGGAGCATGAATTCATTAAGAAAAACCTGAAGCGTAAGATTGATTTATTTATAAAATTAATTGAAAGTTAGTTAAAGTTAAATTAAAACAGAAAAATGCTTTGCCTGTATCTATTCTTTAGATAATTTGATATGCAAAACTATTTTGATGAACATCAGTCATTTTGAAGATAAATTTAACTTTATGTATGTAGTGTAACGGCGTCGGATCCATCAGAAAGGGGGGGGGGGTATGAGCCGCTATGCTTCAGAAGCATCTCCCTCCTCCCTCTAAAAATAAATAAATAAATAAATAAATAAATAAATAAATAAATAAATAATTGATAAATAAAGGAAGCTAGATTATTCTCTTTCCAGCAATCACCACCCCAAACATATTCCATGGTTGGTATGTTGGGGGCAAGAGACGTACGGTAGACCCAGCCACCGGGAGACCTTGGACCGCCGCTCAGAACGCTAACAAGGCCGAGCTGAAGAAGCAGTACTACTGGGTGGCCACGGGCAAGACCATGGCCTATGACGGCTGGGATAAGTCCAAGGCTGCTATACCAAATACACAACCATCTGACGGCGATACCTGTGTCCTTCTATGGGCCGGGAGACGGGACTTCTTGGACTATGAATTTGACGACTATCTCTGCGCTTCAGATTATTATAAAGATATTGGCTACATCTGTGAAAAGGCTAACTAGTTACTTTGTACTTGATTTGATGAGCGTGGAAAGAAATCCCAGCAATAAAATTATCATGCAAAATTAATTAAGGATCTTGATGATTGATCATTTATTTTCAAGCTCTCAAATAAAACTACTTCGCTTAAATCTCAGTATATCAGTTTCACAATCCCTATCCGTTTAAAAAAGAGGGCTCTAACAATATATAATAGGCCCTACTACGTACCCTCTCCCCCCTCCAAAAAAAAAAAAAAAAAAAAAAGAAAAAGAAAAGAAAAGAAAAGAAAAGAAAGAAAAGAAATGGTACCCAAAACTCTTGGTGTACTGATGGATCAAGAACATAAATACAAAGGTGAATGTGCAGACCCTTTCTTCTTTGTGGG